ACAACTGTAATGTGAACTTTCCCATGGTGCACTGAGCTACTCTCTTCCTCTCTCTTTCTGCACTCATTCATGTCCCTTTAATGCATGTTACTAACTCCACTTCTTCCCCGGAGTTCTTGTGCTTTCTCGTCTCGCAGGTTCTCATGGATCCTGGTGGAGCCTCCTGCCATGGTCCTGCTTGACTGCCATTGCCAATACTGTTGTTGCTGTGCACCTGTCTGTCTGTCTCTCTCTCTCTCTCTCTCTCTCTCTCACCCCAACTGGTCGAGACAGACGACCACCCACCTAGAGCCGGAGGATCTGTCCTAGGTTTCTGCCTTTTAACGGGCAGTTTTTCCTTGCCGCTGTCTCCAAGTGCTTGCTCATGGTGGTACTGTTGGGTCTCTGTAAATAATGTTATAAAGAGTTCGGTCTAGACCTGCTCTATTTGAAAAGTGTCCTGAGATAACTTCTGTTATGAATTGGCGCTATACAAATAAAATTGAATTGAATTGAATTGTGTACTTCTAATGAACTCACAGAAAATTGACCCATCCTGAGTCCTGTCCCTTAGAAACCTGGGTTCCTCCTTTTCTCCTTTCTTGTATTTAGATATGCTATATGCTAGCCTTGTCTATGTTGAAAAGACAACCAAAATTTTGAAGATGGTTAAAAGATAATAGCGATATAGATATATATACCACTTCTTAAGTTAGCTAAGGTTAGCAAAATGCAAGCTAACTAGCTAGCTAATCTACATCAATCATCAGCTAGGTAATTAGCTAACTGGGTTTTTGCTAATTACCCGTCAGATTTAAACAATTGTCAACCTATTAGGACGTCACCCATTGGTTTGTAGAGTACTGTTTTGAAGCCTTGAGTTTAGCATTATGGTTATCACCATGACAATTTGTCTTATTGGCTATGCAGTTCCGACAGGAAACAAAGACGAATGATCAGCACTAGTGTGACAGTTTGATCTGAATTTGGTGGGGACTAATTATCACGATATCCTGACAGTAATACAAGACAGATAATCTGTTAAAAAATGTTTGTTCCTCTGGCTCCTCCTAGTGCTCCTAATGGCAGCGGCGCTATAAGATAACTTGGAAATGAGACTCAACAATCAACTAGGTTTCTTGGCTGTTTGGTTGTTTTCATTCAGGCCTGGTGGAGTCTTGCAAATGCCGTTAGGAGCACTAGGAGGAGCCATTTTTCACAGATTATCTGTCTCATGTACTACTGTCAGGATTTAGTGAAAGTTTCAGCAAATAATAAAAAGTAATTTTTATAAAGCTACCTACTGCAGCTTTAAAGTGCAGTCTTGAGGGTTTACATTTATTTACCTCTTTTTTTGCCCCTTTTTACATCCACTATATTACAGTTATTACAAAATATTGTACAAATCAGAACGCTTACACATTTGGAAAGGTAGGGTGGGAAAAGGAGGCAAGGGTGCTGCAATCAGTCATGACAATGCACACCGGTCTTTTTATGGAAGTATTGTTCTGTAAAATTTTACTTTCAATATACTTTTAATTCAGACTGACTTCAACTTTACTTGTGATAGGGTATTTTTATATTGCAGTGTTGTTACTTTAACTTAAATAAAGGTTCTGCATACATTGACAATGATCATAAAGCACTTTGCGAGCATTATTACCAATAATACTTATACATATCTAATAATAGGAACATTATCATGATTATAATATGTAAACATAATCTCAGATGAACTCAATAGAAAAGTTGATGAAAAGAAATATAGCAGGAGTAAACAAGGATCCATCCAGCTGGCACCCAGCAACATGCCGAGTGAAGGCTGCCAAGTCCAACATTGACTCAAACAAGCCAAAACACAACTTTGGAATCTGCTTTCAGGCACATATATTTGGGTCTTGATTTTAGAAGCAGATAGATAGCAGCTGTGAATGTCACCCCAGCTCCCACTTCTGAGCTGTAATTGCCCAGGTTGGTAATGTTTGTGCAGGCTGCTGTATGTACTCAACCCATTCAACGCCTAAATGACTGCTGGGAAGGATTCTGACACTGGCATGGAGCAGAGGTGACATCTTTCTACAGTGTAATTTGTGGATATGTCATTTACCCAAAAGAAAAATGAAAGAACATGGTCAGAGAAGTTCCAAGCTTTCCTAAATAAATGACACATGATTGATTATTAAATGATAACTGGTCAATCTGGCTTGTCAAAACAGCACACTACGTGTGGAGTGGAATGAATTTAAGTCTGATTGCAGTCATTTGTATTACCACAGTCCCCAATCATGCACTGGGAGACAAGGGACCCAAGCTGATTCTGAGAGCGGTTTCTGCTGCTGTGGCTAAAATGTCAGTGATAAGAGCGATACAGCATATCAAAGACAACCTCTAAATATATTACAAATGCACAACACACCATGGAAAACTGTTTGCAGAAACATTCATCATCCTTATCGTTGCACCATTTTTACAGGAGACAAACGGTTGACAATATGTATGACAAATAATTACGCAGCAGTATTTTGCCCCATGTACCAACACTGCAAAACTCTCCAATGTTGCGCAACTTTACTGAAGATTGCTGAGCACTCTGTTGTGTAATGAACTAAGTATTTATCACTGTGAGGGTGTCCTGGAATCTCCCGTGTGTCTTTATACAGAGATGTATGACTTTGGCCTTGAATTCCCTGCAGTGTCTTTATCTCAAACTTGGTTTGGCACACTATATGACCTGTTTCCACCTGAGCGGCAGACTGTTACACCTCTGCCACTGCTGTCTGGAGAGGAGGAATGTGCAGAGGCTGCTCCTGTATGTGCTTGCCTCTCAGAAGTATTCAAATCAATTTCATTTTATTTATGTAACACTTTTCATGGGGCCCTCTTTACAGAATATTTCCCGAACTGCCTGTGCTATCTTAACTTATTAAAAAAACTGGTTACTTGTGAGAATTAATTTCAGCTTTTGTGATTTTCTCAAAAAATGTAGACTTCTGTATCTATTATATTGTTATAAAGCCGTCAGGTTGCCTGCAATGTTCTATATAAATATCACATTCATTTGACTGGCTTCTAGCCAGTAGTATAATAATATGACAACAAAGGAGTGACAGATTAGACCTGTTTCTGTGTGTTTTGGATTGAGTCATTGTTTGTTCAGGAACATATTAGATAACTGAACTAACTTTTCAAACTGTCAGAAATCCCAGACTTTTCTAAACAAGACAGCTTCCTGAGTCATCTAAGTACTGAGACAACACCACTTCCAGGGATCTGATTTATGGTGATTTCACTATTAGACACATCAGACACATTACTGTAATCCCAACATGGAGGAAAACTAAGTTTACAATGTTTAAATGTAGCCATAGCAGACTGTAAATCACTCAGACTGACTATAAATTGTAACATCCAGTAACAAGTCAAACAGCTAAAGGCGGTCTTTTAAGTATCACCATATATGCTATGATAGACAGATTCTATTGGTTTATCTTCATGTTTGGTCGCAGGACAAGATAAACCTGCTAGGAAGCCCTTAGGCCAAAAATGAACTGTGGGCTCCAACTGGCCCCCTGGTTCTCACACTTCTCTCCTGTTGCTTTATAGTACAACACATGGCAGCTTCAGTTCCACACAGCCTCAGAAAGCAGCCAGCGGTCCTGTAATGCACTTTCGGGATGGGAATTGATAAGGTTCTATTGATAAGGGGTTCCAAAGGGGGTTCAATTGCTCCTTCTGAAGTCCCGCCCATTTTTTACTCTGTGCCCCAATAAGAGTTGAGCAAGCCACGGTCAGAAACTCATCAACTTTCTCCTTTCCTGTACTTAGATATGCTATGTGCTAGGCTAGTTATTGAAAAGACCACCGCATTTGGAAAATGTCTAAAAAAGCCATGTATCAAATAATAAAATGAATGAGAAGTATTTGATATATTTATAATAGCTTAATTTTTTTATACAATAAGTTATGTTCATACTGCTTTAAATAAACTATTGATTCCCATCTTTGTTGAGTTTTGTGCAAAATGAAATAAAAGCCTGTCCAAAATATTAGCAGGTTGAGTTCGGTTATTGAAGAAAATAAAAGGGCCAGGGCTATTAATTGAAGTTTATGCTAATCGTTAATTAGCTCATTACATCTGATAGCAAATGTTAAATGACCATTGTAGAGCTAGCTAGCTAGTAAGGTCTGATAGCTAATGTTAGCTAAATGCAAGCTAGCTGGATAGCTACTAACTGGTGTAGAGCTGAAATGTGGTTGTCTTTTCAACATTGACCAGGCTAGCACATAGCATACCTTAATACAAGAAAGGAGGAAGTTAAGTTACGGAAGGGTCAGTGGAAAAGCAAAAATAAATGAAAATGTATTTTCTTATGGCCCAAAATAGTTTGGAGTTTCAGTAACACAACACAAAACGTCTAAACTAAGCAGAGTACTAGTTTAATTACATGTAGATTACAACTCTCCAACACTGGGTGGATTTTATCTTTACAATATCAAATTATTACATATCACCAGCCTTAAATAAAATAAAAGTGTTTCATTTCCTTTTTCTGCTTCTTTGGTTGCATTTGTTGTTCGTGTCACTATACAAATACACTATCATAGAATAAGAGGTGTGTGTAAGTGTGTGTGGCTGAAGTGGATCTGTTCCAAGTAAAGGGTTTGCCAACACAACCTAGTTACTGTTCTTTTCACATTAAACCACACCCGACCACAATGAAAAGGAGTCTGTGAGAAACCTTATTATAGTGGTCTTCTGTCTGATCCCAACTTGTTCCTACCGGTTGCAATAAATGGAACTACTCCAGGACGGCAGGAGTCGTACATCTTCTGGTAATGTGTTAAATGTGAATGGAAGTGTGTTACAAACAGAGCCACATGTTGAATTGAAACAGGTAAGAAGACTAAACCAAAACCGGGGGAGGGAGCAGAGAGCCTGATGTAGGCGAGGTAACTTTGAATCAACCCTCCTTGCTGTGTCACGATTACCTTGCACCAAAGGAACACCTCACCCCAGTGAGCAACAGCTGCTTTTAGAGGAAGAACTAGGGAGAGGATAAATACAGAGTGAGGGGGCCGGACTAACAGAAAGGCAAACGCAGGATGAGACAGCAATACAGACAAGAGTAACAGAGAAACAGGAACAAGAGAGAGAGAAAAAAAAAAGTTTGGTGAAGTCAGACAGGGGAAGAGCAGGCCTCCAGGGCGGTGCAGTGAGTGAACAGGGCATGAATGACAAGGAGAGAGAGAGAGAAGGAGAGAGAAAGACAGAACAAGGAGGTCTTTCCTCCTGTATTTTAGTTTTACTCCAGTTTTGTAACTTTGCCTGCACCAGTCACAGAGGCTGAGTGAGACCAGGCTAGACCCAGGGAACAGATCACAGGTGAAACACACTTTGAGTCCATTCAAAAGAAGAGAGACTGTGTGTGTGTGTGTGTGTGTGTGTGTGTGTGTGTGTGTGTGTGTGTGTGTTAGGCAGTGTTTGAAAAATGACCAAAAAGTCTGCATCTGCTCAAAAAGATGGAAGAGTGGCAGCAAATGGACACAAAGTATCCCCAAATGGGACTCTGTCGGACGGCAGCGGGAAGCTGCAGGACGGGGACGACAGGAAGGTGGGGCTGGGGAAGAAGGTGACCCTGCTCCGAGGTATCGCCATCATCATCGGCACCATCATCGGAGCGGGGATCTTCATCTCTCCGAAGGGCATCCTGAAGCACTCGGGCAGTGTTGGGATGTCTCTGATAGTGTGGATCGCCTGCGGGGTGCTGTCACTCTTCGGTGAGTTGCTTCACAGGTGTTTCAGATGGAAGAGATGTGTCTCCTTCTGTGAGAGCTGCTGCATCGGATGGAAAAGGTGCTGGTAGAGGTGGAAGTCTCAAAATGTGTTTACTGTCTGTGCTCAGATGAAATAAGTCCCGGGAACAAATGGAGAAAATAATGAACAGAAGTGTAGCAATGTGACGCACCAGATGTCTTCTTCCAGGAAAGGATGCTTTCCAATTAAATGCCACAAGTCAATAAAAAGGGAAACTAGGAGGAACTGAAACAACTTTCTGACAACTAAAAACAGAGGTTAAGCTTGTTAAGTATGTTCCAATTATAAACACAAATACTGTATTATTATTAAAAACCTATAGGTTAAACTTGGCCTTTATGTACGGGAAGAGGGTTAGGAATTCTGAAAAAACACTCCGATTTCTTTTGACCTAAATTAAGAACTCTTTTTCTTTTTTCTTTTGGCCATAATTCTCTTCCGTATTTATGAGCAACCCATGTGTTGATCATACTGTTTCACTGCAAAACTGAGGTTGATATTGTTTTTGTGCCCAACTAAAAACAAAGCTCAAGCCTGATTTTGACTTCCAACCTTTGCTAAAAAAAAGTTCTTGTTGTTAGAAAAAAAGGTATAAAATACCCCAAAATATTTTTTTCAAAGCTTTTTATGTGTAACCTAAGCATAAAAACACCTGCTTTTTTACTTAAAACAAAGATTAGGCTTGGTTTTTATTTTCAAAGAAAACACTTCACTACTAAAAATTTAGGTTATGCTTGATTTTTATGTACAACGTATGCACAAAAATAGTTTTTAATTTCTAAACACCTAGGATAAACTGTGCAGTGTATGCGCAAAACGTTTATTTACTGTGTATGCTCAAAAGTACAATAAAAGTTATTACTGAGAATAAAAGCATTTCCTCTAAAAACTATAATTTTATTAAAAACCCAGGTTTGGTCTTTAGGTGTGATGTGTGAGCAAACACCATTGTTTTATTTTGAAAGGGTGAGCCTATTTTGTGTGTTTTTTTTCTTTTCTTTTTTATTTCTAGAAGCAGGCTTTGTGTGCAACTTCTGAACTATTTTTTATGTTCAACCTTTCAAGATTAAACAACAGGAATTTGCACTTACATTGCACCTAAAAGCTAAGGTTTTGAGTAATAAAATAAGATTTTTAAAAGTAAATCACACTATTGACAAAACAAACTGTATTAGGAGGGTGCTTGATGAGAACTTGGATGTAACATGGCCTCCCAACATCAGGTTTTGCCCCCCTGGGCCCCCAAACAGGTTAATCCAGTCATTGTGATCATGGAACTGAATCCAATCCTGATCCACCTGAGGCTGCAGGAAGGGTGCTCATTGTGTTGTCAAAGAAGGAGTGTAGATCACAATTTGCTGTCAAAAAAACTGTAATTGCACATCTTGTAGTAAATGGGACTGGTGCACACTGAATAAATGATAAAGTCTCTGCATTATAAATTAGGAAGCCACAGTTATCCCCAACTTGTGAGTGGCAGGTTGTTAAAGGTTGTACAAAATTAACTTACCTAAAAAGGTGGTACCAACGGGCACTACGACCAACCAGATGCCATTGACAAAACCAGTAATTCAACCTAGCAATTTAACTCACTTCAAACTGGACAGAAACAAAAGAAAACTCACTGAAAACCAGTCTTTCCACAGTCTTTTCAAAAATCACCAACTCTGGTTTGACCAAAATAAACCCTAATTCACTTATCTCTACAGAGATAGACCTATTGTTTAACCAGAAAAAGCCCAAATATTGATATCGCTCACAGCAAGACTCCAAGACAAAAACTGTAATTTTACCTCAGATATCATTGTAACATTGTGACTTCATTCAAAATGGACAAACAAAATAAAACTCATCTTTGTTATTTTTTTTACTGTTCCAACAATCACCAAATCTGCTTGTTTGGAAATAAATCTTAGGCTTTTGTTGCCTAAACCTCGTTGCAAACGGGAGTCTCGATATGAACCCCGGTCTCTGGAGTCTTTGTACGTGTACCCTGTGACTCTAGTGTGTTACATCTCATTCATTAAAACCACTTGTCACTGAACATAATACATTGAGTGATTATGTTTGTCACCACCATGTTATTGGGAAAACATCTCAGTAGTATGTAGTTGTAATTTCAAGCAGTCAGGGTTGGAATACGGGTGCTCAAGGAGGCAGTGCTGAAGTGTTGTTCACATCTGTGTATTGTAGCATATATTGTTGCGGTATCCTTAAATCCCTCAGTTTCTGCTCTGTAATGAAAGACCCAAGCACATTATCCTTGAATACCCTTCCCTAACCCCTTATCCTGCTCCCCTTTATTCACATTCCCTAAACTTGTAATTAAAATCCGTCCACCTAAATCTTTCTTCCTTAAGTTATGGGTTGAGACCCTAAAAGGCTCCCACAGTAATATATTTGGGTGGTCATGGGGCCCAGGGAGAGACTGTACATTTCTATAGACAGCTGAGACAGTTTAACAGCCCTGGGACAGTTCTGTTCCAACTAGAGCTAATCTGTCACCTCTGTCCCTGCAGGAGCCCTGTCCTACGCTGAGCTGGGGACTTCTATTAAGAAGTCTGGTGGACACTACACATATATAATGGAAACCTTCGGACCTCAGATGGCTTTCATACGACTGTGGGTTGATCTCATCGCTATAAGGTAATGTCTACTTCTGGTGCTTTTTTGAACCTATAACTTTAGGCTTAAAGCTACATTAATCAATATGTTTATGTTAACAAAGGGTCAAATCACTGTCATTGGGAAGTAATGACTCCACAAAGAATTATCACCCAGCTCTGCAGTTCCCCTTAGCTCTATGGAATGTATTGGCTTCTTTCAGCTCTTTGTTATAATTTAACAGCCCACAACTTTACTCTTTGGTTCACTCTTTCCGCTCTCATCAACTTGGTTCATAGCAGCAGCAGGCATTTGTGTTCAATGACAAAGCTCTAAGAACCCACTGTACACTACTTGCTCAGCAGCAAACAGCAGACAGACACAGTTAGAGACTAGCTGGTGAACGTAGTGGAGCATTTAGCCAAAACAGAGACCGAAACAGAGTTAAAAGAGAGTGAATATTGAACTCACATTTTAATGGGTCCTCACTTTCATGTGCGGAAGTGTGGAAATTTCTCAATTCTGAGACGCATTGCAATGCGGACGTGGAAGATTCTGCATCAATGCACTGACAGAACATAATTGGGTGTTTGCAGTATACACAAAAGTATAGCCTACTATTGTTGATTGTTGATCAACCTCAGCTGGACCAAATATTTCTCGTCATTATGTTGAAACAACGCTCTCTTGCATTGAATTATGGGCAAATGTTAGGCTAATTTATATGTTGAAAGATATGGCATTGGGAGGCAGAGATGAGCAGCGAGTGATAGAATATACACCCTGTATTTTGAAAGTGAACATCAAGATGCACTGAGTTGCACTGAATATCGTTCAATGCATTTGAAGCGTTGAATCGGTGAGTCATGATCAAATCGAATCGGGGGGCCACTGAAGATTCACACCTCTGTTACATTTGTTAGGTGGCCAGCAGCACAAACTCCAAATTAATGCTTATGCTGCTCTATGTCTGTTGGATGTGAAACTGAGCAGCCATTCGCTTCACAGTGGAGTAAATCAGAAAGAAGCTTTAGCAAATAGTTCAACTTTGGTACACTCAATCACAGGAATTTACCAGACTGATATTGAAGAGATATCTGCATATGAATGCAAATTTAAACCATGGGAGCCGAAGGGTGTTGAGATAGCATTTCGACAAAATGCTTTCTGCCTCTTTTGCTCAGACTGTCTACCTGCATGCAACCAAAGCCTGTTCAAACGTGATTGCTCAATACGACTCAAACTGCAAAAGGAAACTAGAACCAAAATCTTGGTCCCTGCATTTAAAGCCTGTTCAAACCACTCATAAACTCCAGTTTGAAACCCATCTATTAACCATATTGCATTATGTCTTGACAATGCTTACCTTTTGTGTAAGTAAAATGAACACAAAAGTAAAGTAAAGTGAATTACTTTGTCAAAAAAGAGTTAAATCCAAGCAATTTACACAAAATGCAATTATTTATAGAAGATATGTGTCCCTGACATATAACCTGTGTTTCAGAAGGGTTGTCAGACTGTGCTGGGTGACAGAGCCCACCACAGCAGGTAAATAAAGGTCCTGTCTGTCTGTGACCTTGTGATGTGGAATACTGAGTTTAGTTTAGACCAGCGAGGTGAGAAAATGCCCCATGCGCAGCTGTGTGTGTACACAGCCAAGGCGCAGCAGTATAAACAATCTAGTAGCTATCCTGAGCTGCCCAATTTTATGCTGGCCTCAGGCTAGCAGGACTGAATGGAAACCATGGGAAATGAACAGAGACAGAGGCAGAGAATGAAAACAAGAACCGGGGAGACAAAGAGAGATTTCCCCGGCTGCGGCAGCTCAGTGGCTGCTGTGGGAAATGAAGAGGGAAATACTGATGAGCCATAAGATGAGCCTGTGGGACCGGCCAGACTTATTTGATTCTTACTGAAGCCAAGCCTATAGACAGCAGCACACTGTCCACCACATAGTGGCTGGATTATGGGAACAGTCCAGGATGCTGCCAATCAGATATTATACACACACAAAAACACACACACACACACACATACACACACTCTCATCTGCTGAATAACTACATAATACCTGCTACAACAGAACTTACATGGAGATATATGAGAGCTGAAATGGCCAGTCACAGTGGGGTCTGGTTTCAGGGTGGTTAATGAGTGGCCAGGATGAAGACTGAGTTATTTTGATGAAAAGTTGACAGAAATGTAAAAATTGGAATAATGGAATTTGTTATAAAGCTTTTACCCTTACTTGGGGCGGTTTCTGCCTTTTAGAGTTAATGCTTAATGGGAGATGGAAACATTTTTTCAGAATAAGTTCTGACGTAGTGAATATTAGCTCCAGTGTGTAGGATTTAGCGGCATCTAGTGGCGTAGTTGCAGATCGCAATCACAACTCCCTCGCTACACCCTCCTCTTCCAAGCGTGAGGGAAAAACGCAAACAGCCTTATCCAGAACCAGTGTTAGATTTGTCTGTTCTCAGCGATCCCACCCGTCTTGGAAAACCTGGATATTTAAAGGCTTGTTTACCAAGCATAGAAACTAGTAGGAATTGATTACAATGACCAAATATCCTGGAAATAATCTATGATGAAACCCCGATTCTGTGCTACTATACAAACATGGTGGTTCAATATTGTTCAAAGTTATATCTAACTCCTCAAAACAAAATGCTGACTAATTCCTAGGAACGTAAGACTAAAAACAAAAGACATTTACTAACCCTAACTCCTTAACCTAATGGAAAAACAGGAGAAAAAAGTAAATCAATTTTTGCCACTAGGAGGCAATATAACTGCAAATCATTTTGATTGCATTTGCTAATATATTAACAAACAGTTGCATGTTTACAAATCCAGCAGACACAGAGGAACATTGGTGTCAATTTAGAGTCGTGGTTGTGTCCATCAGATACATGTGAATCCAATATTCACTCTCTTTTAGCTCTGTTTTTGGTCTCCACCAACTACTGAGACCAGTATCTGTCTCTTTAGCTGCTAAATGCTGCACTATGTTCTCCAGCTTGTCTCTAACAGTGTGTGTGTGCTGTTTGCTGCAGTGTATGTACTGTACAGTTGGTTTATCCAAGCTTTTTCATTGAAGTTGGGGGTAGTAAAACCAATAGCTGCAGTATGAGTAAGCTCTTTCGTGTCACATGTACCAGGATATTTGATGACTGGAACTCTAGCATCATATTTAATGTAGTACTTTATATGTTTGCACTAAAGTTGTATATGTTTTGATATGTTTGTGTGTCTACCTTTGTCTGTGTGTGTGTCCTTCAGGCCTGCGGCAATGGCAGTCATCTCTCTGGCCTTTGGTCAGTACATCCTGGAGCCTCTGTTCATGCCCTGTCATATCCCCCCTATGGCCATTAAATTGACCACCGCCATTGGCATAAGTACGTATACCCAGACTACCATTCAATTAATACATCAGTGTGGCGATATGTCATGATGGCTTTATCAGTTTGACCTGTTGTAACCTGCTCTGTAAATGTCAGGAGATGTACGCTGGCATAATAACAGGTATTAAAGTGTGCAGTTGGAGACAGAGGGGACGGGAGAGGGTGATGTCAGCTGTCCATATGACAAAAAAGTCCCAGCACTGTCTTTATCTCACCAACCTGTCCATTAAACACGAGCAATTGTGCAAAGATGTAATGCAGCTACAGGGAGAAAAGTAGGCAACATTGCTGCCAAAATCTTCCTATAGAAACAGGCACAATCTGCTTAAAGCTATAAGCTGTAACATTTTCACATTAAAATGTCTATAAACTCTAGCTCTATGTTATATATGTAGTTGAGTTGTGTACTTCCATTATTCCAAATGTTTCCAACAATGTTCAAACTCACAGAAATCTGTCATTTTATTCAGGTAACGCTGCGTTTCACCGGTCGCCTGTCAATGGCGTCATATTCCCTTTGTGCCTGCGTCAGCGTTGTGGTTGTCAGAATCTGTCATACATTGACTTTTTTTCCAGTTTGAAGCTACATTTTTACCATCCACTGTTTAGATCTTGGCACAAAACTGATTACATCCTGCTGACATCATGAGTCACACGAACAGTTACAGAAACAACTATAAATACAAAATATTGGAACATATACTGATATTTTAAAAAGATTCTCACATTATAAAATGACAAACCCACTAGCTTTGGGAGCATTAATCCAGAATGTGGATACATACAGTATATATATATATATTTTCTAGACAGTGATGCCTTTGCTGAGTGGCTGGTGTAAAACAAGCTGTTAAAGTCTGACCCAGCACATGAAAGTGAGGACCCAAGTACTGGTTGTGGTTTGGTCAGATCTTTAGGTTATTTATGCTTACATTTGCTCAAAGATCTGAACTACTCAACCCTATCACTAGACAAGAAATCAGTTTTGTTAATATTTAGTACCAATGTTTCTTAAAATAAATGTTTCTAAAAGATCTGCATATGCACTGCAGTGCGGTTAAAGTTATGAAAAGATCATTATGGCAGGTAATGTAAGGATTGATTCCAAACCAGGGGCAGGCTATGTGTAAAATTCATTAAAAATTGACAAATGGTTGAAACATCAAGCTTGTGTACAAGTTAAAAATGTAAACCAAAACATTTACATCCAGTTACTGGGTTAAAGATCTACTATTAACATAATATCCATAGGTTTGTTTTCAAAGTGTCAACTCAGTAAAGCAATCGTTATGTTTTATATAGTATATTTATAGTGTATTTTGCCGCTACCATAGATTATCCTACATGCTTGGAAGGCGAGGGTAAAGAGTTGCAATCTGCAACTACACCACTAGATGCCACTAAATTCTACACACTGGTCCTTTAAGGTATGCATACAGTTAAACAATTAAAAGACTTTATGCAAAGATCATGGTTACATTTTTAAAAAAGCATGAATTGTGGGTCACAAAATCTTCCAGATTTTAGAAAACATGCTTGTTTGGTACAGACCTTAACTAATGTCACATTATCAGAATTTTTTATTTAGTAGCTTTTTCAGTGACTATTTAAATTGTAATGCAAAAATAATTGTTAATCATATCGCTACATCTGTGATCATCATATAATTTTTTTTTTACCATATCACAAGCTCTACATTGGACATTAAGGAACCTAATTCCTTGTGGATAGTGAGTTACTACTGCTAGAGTGCTGTTATAAAACGCCCATGTCCACTGGATATGCCATGGTTGATGTGTAAGTTTTGTTTGTTTCCAAAAATATCTAATATCTCTCATATTAATTCAGTTCATTCAATTTTATTTGTATAGTGCCAATTCATAACAGAAGTTATCTCAGGACACTTTTCAAATAGAGCAGGTCTAGACCGAACTCCTTCTAACATTATTTACAGAGACCCAACAGTACCACCATGAGCAAGCACTTGGCGACAAGGGCAAGGAAAAACTGCCTGTTAAAAGGCAGAAACCTAGGACAGATCCTTCGGCTCTAGGTGGGTGGTCGTCTGTCTCGACCAGTTGGGGAGAGAGAGAGAGAGAGAGAGAGAGAGAGAGACAGACTGACAGACAGACAGACAGACAGACAGACAGAGAAACAGACAGACAGGTGCATAGCAACAACTACACTAATAGTAGTGACTGATGATGATGAATCAAATCAAAATCAAATCAAGTTTATTTGTATAGCCCTTTACAATAGCCGAAAGGTACCCAAAGTGCTTTACAACAAAGCCATGAAACAATACATAACACATAAATAATATACAAATACAATTAAAAGTGCTGTAGTGCTGCAGGGTATTAAAGCCTTCCAGAAATGCATAGAGAGGAGCAGACAAAAAGAGTACACCTAATGATGAACATGACAACAGCAACGATTGGGGACAATAAGCAGTGACAACAGCAACAACAGTAACCGTAGCTACAATAATACTTATAATAATAATAACACGAATATCAGTGATATTGGCAATGACAGTCAAGCAGGACCATGGCAGGAGGCTCCACCAGGATCCATGAGAACCTGCAAAACGAAAAAGCACAAGAACTCCGGGGAAGAAGTGAAGTTATGCATTAGTGGGACATGAATGAGTGCAGAAAGAGAGAGGAAGAGAGGAGCTCAGTGCACCATGGGAAATCCCCCGGTAGTCTAGGCCTATAGCAGCATAACTAAGGGATAGTTCAGGACTCACCTGATCCAGCCCTAACTATAAGCTTTATCAAAGAGGAATGTCTTAAGCCTACTCTTGAATGTGGTGAGGGTGTCTGCCTCCCGAACCACAACTGGAAGCTGGTTCCACAAGAGAGGAGCTTGGTAACTGAAGGCTCTGGCTCCTGTTCTACTTTTAGAGACTATAGCAACCACAAGTAGCCCAGCATTCAGAGAACATAGTGTTCTAGAGGGGTAATAGGGTACTATGAGCTCTTTAAGATATGAAGGGGCCTGACCATGAAGAGCTTTATAGGTGAGGAGGAGGATTTTAAATTCTATTCTACATTTTACAGGGAGCCAGTGCAGAGAAGCTAGTACAGGAGAGATGTGATCTCTTTTTCTAGATCCTGTCAGTACTCGTGCTGCAGCATTTTGAATTAATTGGAGCGTTTTAATGGACTTATTGGGGCAACATAACAATAAAGAGTTGCAGTAATCCAGCCTAGAAGTAACAAATGCATGGATTAGTTTTTCTGCATCTGTCTGTGATAGGATGTGTCTAATTTTTGTAATATTACGTAAATGAAAGAAGGCAGTCCTAGAGGTCTGCTTCATGTGGGAATTAAATGACAAATTCTGATCAAAGATAACTCCAAGATTCCTGACAGAGGTGCTAGAGGCCAAGGTAATGCCATCTAGAGTAACTATATCTTTAGACAGTGAGTCTCTAAGGTTTTTGGGGCCAAGTACAAGAATTTCGTTTTTTTGCAGCTCAACCAGGATTTTATGTCCTTAAGACATGTTTGTAATTTAGATAATTGATTAATTTCATCGGGCTTGATCGATAGATATAACTGCGTATCATCTGCATAACAGTGAAAGTTAATGGAGTGATTCCTAATAATGTTGCCTAAAGGGAGCATATATAAAGTAAATAGTATTGGTCCAAGTACAGAACCTTGTGGAACTCCATGACTAACTGTAGTATTTACTGAAGATTCATTCATTCATGATTAGTCGAATATTAAATGAGATCCCACAAAGAGCACAGAAATCAACCATATGTAGAGAATGTAAGGAGGTGATATGGCCAAGTTCAACATTTAGAAACACAATTAGCCACGGCAACTATTCACACATCGACCGACCAGACAGTTACATAACTACAATGTGTCAGGAATAATGCCCAACAAGGCGTCCATTATCTACTCCTGATAATGGATTGATTATGAACACTGCAAAGGGAATTATGAAGCTTATACTATGGTCACCTGACCAGTATTTTACATTTTCATGCATTTTGAAATCAAAACAAAAGTTTTTCACAAGCTATAACTCCATTTCCCTTGTAACACATGAGGGTTTGACTAATTCCTGGAAGAAATATTACCATCCCATAATGCTCTAATCCAATCGAAGCGTAGTTCACTGCTACAGTAAATAGGACAAAACCTTAGATTCGTCTTGGCAACGGGAGATATTTCTAGTTTCCTCCGCTCATAGAGTGCTTTGGCTCAGCTATGAGCTAGAAAACTAACGTTATGCTACTATTTCAGAAAACTAATGTTATGCTACAAGCCAGAAAACTAATGTTATGCTACGAGCTACAAAGCCAACATTATGCTACGAGCCAGAAAACTAATGTTATGCTACAAGCCAGAAAACTTATGCTATGCTACGAGCCAGAAAACTAACGTTATGCTACGAGCCAGAACACTAATGTTATGCTACAAGCCACAAAGCTAGCGTTATACTACGAGCCAGAAAACTAATGTTATGCTACAAGCCAGAAAACTAATGTTATGCTACGAGCCAGAAAGCTAACGTTATGCTACGAGCCAGAAAACTAATGCTATGCTACGACCCAGAAAACTAATGTTATGCTTTGAGCCAGAAAACTAATGTTATGCTACGAGCCAGAAAGCTAATGTTATGCTGTGAACCAGAAAGCTAATGTTATGCTGTGAACCAGAAAGCTAATGTTATGCTATGAACCAGAAAGCTAATGTTCTGTAAGCAAGATTCAATTCAAGAGTCAATAAAACTGCATACAGTCAGCAAATAATAAATATAATTTGACAGTATGTTTAACAAAAAGACTAGCTAGCTATCATGGCATGTTGTACATGATGGCCACAGCACCAAATAGCATGCTCCCCATAGACCTCAAAGACAGGATATCTCAAACTGTGAACATGGTCAATTAAAGTCTATTATGCATTTTTTATCCATGGAGGTTTTATATTTGTTAAACTTGCCTTGAGCAGAAAAAAGTAATTTATAAATCTGTGAAATCATCGCAATGTAAAATCTAAAGTATGTAATGTAAAGGCTGAGCGGGAACTCCAGCAGCCAGCGCCAACAGAGAAACACCACTGTACACAAAGAGTGGGCTGCATAATCAGGAAGTAAATTCTGGAAGCTAGAATCTTTCCTGGCATATGCGCCAGGCGAGCAATTTTCATGGGACTGAAACGGTGCCATCTTGGTCTCTGGTATGTAGTTCTGTTATAAATCTATGGAGTACATTTCCATGACTCTCCTTTTCTCTGTCCCTGTAGCATCTATTATGTACCTGAACAGTATGAGTGTGACGTGGACAGCAAGGATTCAAATTGTCCTCACCTGCAGCAAGCTGCTGGCCATCGCCATCATCATAGTGCCTGGAATGTACCAGCTCTTTAAAGGTAAGAGAAGTTTATCCTCACCATCATCGTCATCATCATCACCTCTAATAGCCTCCATTAGTACTCTAAGAGTCTGTAGGACACTGAGTGTTATGCTGTTTAGGAACATTCTCAGACTTCACACAGAGCGCTCAGCTGCAACAATTAACATTACTTCCTTTGACTCACGCAGCAACGTGCACTGTAAATATAACCTTGAAGCCTCGCAGGCGGTGAAACGCAGCTGCTCACAGCAAGCAACAACTCAGGCATTTCACAGTGTCCTCACAGCAGGTGTTATAAGAGGCCCTAAATAACAGCTCATCCCTCCGCTCTGGGCTGTTTGTCTATAAAGCATTATTATACATGCAGTATTTATGAACGGTTAAAATTAATAACACTTCCAGATCCTGCTATTACAACTGTTCATCCTGCAACCTAGAAAGAATAATACTGCAAAATGGTTCATTTAAATTCTTATATGAAAGTATAAATATATATACAAAAGACCATATGCAAAAAACACTCAACCCTGTTTGAAGTTTCAGTTAGCTTTGCACAGAAACAGCTGGTAGAAATGTCCTTTGGAGAAACAGAGAGAGTACTTTTTACTTTTATACTTTCAGAGCCTGTACTTTTTCATTTTTACCTGAGTAAAGAAGTTTAATTAGTACTTCTACTACTACTTTTTTTACACAAGTATCTGTACTTCTACTTGAGTAAAGAATGTGTGTACTTTTGCCATCTCTGCTTTGTCAAATCCAAGACAATGACTAGTTGAGAACGAGTTCAAAGAGGTTCGAGTCCAAGTCAAGTCCAAATCCAAATGAGACAGACAAGAGACAAGGCAAGTGACACTGATTGGCTGCCAGGAGGCCAATATCAGTGCCTGTTCTATATTTTGAATTAAACCAATAAGATGCTTTGATTGGATTAATTTACTACATGTACTGATGGACTTGGTCAAGACTATCTAGAATATCCAAACTCGAGTCTGAGGTCTGGACGCAGGTACTACAGCACTGGTACATATATAATGCATGCTGTATTAAGCTGCTAGGGGGCCCTCGAACAAAAATAAGCCCCAATTAAGCCCTCACATATACATAAATATGGTTAGCCCCCATCTTGTGAACAGCTAATTAAATCAAAGAAATCAATCAAGCAATTTGAGGGACATTATTCTAACATTTTTCACAGCAGCCATTTTGACATATAGTCAGGTAAATACAGTTGCTACCAATGGTAGATGGTAAATGGGCCTGTACTTGTATAGCGCCTTTCTAGTCTTCCGACCACTCAAAGCGCTTTTACACTACGTGAGACATTCACCCTTTCACACACATTCACTCAGTGATGGCAAAGTCCATCAAACAGAAACTAACATTCATACACACTCACACACTGATGCACGCCATCGGGAGCAATTTGGGGTTCAGTATCTTGCTCAAGATTGCTTGCTGTCGATACTTCGACATGTGGCACCAGGAGCCGGGGATCAAACCCACAACGACCCGCTCTGCCTCTGAGCCACAGCCGCCCCAATGATGCTAATTAGTTTTGCACAATAACCTGTCTTGTGAAAATGTATATGATGCATATTCCTAAATAAATTTGTGTTTAACTAAGTTACCACATAGGCCTATAGGGGGCCTATGGGGGCCCCTTTTCTAATGTTTTCTGGTGTCCCCTGTTTTATTAATCTGGCCCTGGTACTGTCCACCTCTGCATGATCACACAGATCATTACAAACAATTTGTGACTTTCAACAATTCAGTACAACATTATTGTCCTATTAGATAGTTTGTATGAGCAGTTTCTGTTCATAAATGTGAGCTCATGCATAAAACAGAATGCTGATTATATTTGAGAGTGCTTTAATCTGTCTGAAGTACCTGTGTTGTACAGAAGAATCCATTTCTCTGAGCTAATAAGGCAGATTAGTGCTCCATTCATCTCTTTTATTGTTAAAACTAATTTTAGTATTATCATTATTGCTATTGCTGTGGCAATGGTCGCTCCTGGTGTTGTGTGAGTAGTATTTGTACTGATCCTTCCATTGCTGCAACAATCCCTCTTCATTAAGGACAAATTGTAGTGCTTCAAACAGTCAACAAAACGAAATGTGTGTCCTTGTGTGCGTGTGTGTGTGTGTGTGTGTGTGTGTGTGTGTGTGTTTGCAGGGGAGACTAGGAACTTTGAGAATGCCTTTGAGCTGAGCAATGTGAAGCTGTCCGGTATGCCACTGGCCTTCTACTCTGGGATGTATGCATACGCTGGGTGGTAAGTATAGTCCTCACACACACACACACAAACACACATGTTCTATATGCATTTCCCATGATATACCACTCATTTATCATTGGGGGTTTAATGGTAACTGTTTCCTTTTGCAGGTTCTATTTGAACTTTGTGACAGAGGAGGTAGAGAACCCTGAGCGGTGAGTTTAAACCATGTGGTGACTGTATTTGTAAAGGTTATCTGGATTTGTATCTGTATTTATGCCAATATGCCACCGGTTCTCATACAACGGGTTTCTACCAGACAGAATCACAACAAGGTGTTTCAGTACAAGAGCTGTCTGTTGAAATAGTGCCCTCTAGTGCAGACGTTACAGGCAGCAGAGGCATCACCACATGTGTGCCACCACAGTTCATTATACTGACTTTATCAAGTGAGACATATATATATATATGTATATATAATATATAGTATTGCCTTTACCAGTCCCTCTAGAAAAACGCGATTATGCGATCGCATAATTCAATGCATAATCAGCCAAAGTCTGCGCCGATTTGACATAATTATGCAACGTGAACATCATCGAAAAGCTGCAAAGCCCGCGATGAAGCCGCAATTTTTGCAAGTTCCCGCAATTTCATTGCATAAAATTGCATAAATTGCCGCATATTCCATCGCGTTTTTTAAGAAAACGTGCCGCATAATCAAGGATTTTGGCCTGCAACAATCACAAAAAAACTTTGTTTAAATATTTATTTGTCTGTTAGGTCAGTGCATTTGTAGCTGCTTTATCTGACAATGTACTGCTCCTGTTCCCTCCCTTCAGGACTGTGCCATTAGCTATCTGTATCTCCATGGCGATTGTGACTACCTGCTATGTGCTGACCAACGTGGCGTACTACACTGTGATGTCAGCAGAGGAGCTCCTGGCCTCGGACGCAGTTGCTGTGGTAAGTTATAGTAATAGTCTTTAACTGATGGAAAGGCCTTAAAAATGTTGCCCAAAAGAAAATTATTATTCACTGACTGACTTCTATTTTACTTTGTATTTCTATATAACTACTATATTTACTGAGCGATCTTAATTGACACAGTTAAAAAGTAAAAGAAAGAGCTGTTTGCTTTTGCATATAATATGTATTTCCTATAAAACGGGCAGCTAGGGAGGGACTTGTTGCAGCAGCTAATAGTGCTGGGTATTAGGTCCCCCCAGTCCAGCGTGTATATTGGATCCATTAACTGACTCTGCCCCAGTTGGGAGCTCCCAGTGAACAGCACGGCCAGAATAGGACCAAATACAGCATCCGATGGCGACATAGGACAGTTTGAAGACAGGGAATATAGTACCAAGGTGTTTTTGGCTAACGTTAGTTGCACAAGCTAACTAGCTAATGGCATCTAACATTACTGTTGTTGACAGTTAGCTACTTTTAGCAACAACTCCATCTGGAAAGTCCATAAATCACCTCGGTACAGCTGTCGTCACACTGTCCTCTGTCTGTCTCAGAGGTTGTGTTCACTGGGAGGCTGCTGAGCCACGTTCGGTTTTATGCTAACAGCTGCTACAGCAGCAGTTAGCCACGTTGAGGCAGAGCAGCCAGAGGACATTAGAGAGAAAGCCAGATAATATTTTCTCCATAAAATATGATCAAGTTTCACCAGAATCACTGATAACGCTGTGTTTTTGTACAAGTGATAACGTTTTTGTACAGTTACCAGTAAGGTCTAGTGATGCGCGGGTTGGGTCGGGTCAAGAAATGATAACTTTATTGGCGGGGCGGGTAGGGCGGGTCATTAAGGATTAGATATGTCCAATACAGCCTACTTCTTAACAATACTGTTGGGTAAATCTACCTGCGACCTGATGTCACAAAGGCGCCTATATATATTTATTTTTATTAAGATTTGAATTTGTTGTTGCCAGTTTCCAGTGCCACACGAAAAGCTGTTTTCAAGCACATTTGTAAGACCAAATAAAAGCCTTATTTAATGACATATTTAACATGTATTTAATAGCGGGCGGGGCAGGGTGAGGCGGGTTGTGAAAATAGATGCGGTTGTGCAGGGCGGGATGGAGCTGGTCAAATTATTAAATAAATGCGGGATCCGCGGGTTGGAAAAAACCCCGACCCACGCATCACTAGTAAGGTCCACGCCCCCAGAAACACTCCACTCAGGTAGCTAGCCATGTTGTTGCTAGTTAGCTAACTAACTAATGAATCTTCACTCTGTATCGACTGATTGACAGGTGAATGTAATCTTTGGTTGAAATCGGTTAGTTCATGCTTACATAAGCATGCGCCACATTTTGTGACAAAAAGACAAAATTCTTGGTTTTGATATAAATAAACTGTCACATTGTTAAACAGTGGTACAATATAACTGAGGATGTAATCTTAAAGTCTTAAAGGGTTAAAATTATATTTTCCATTTCACCTGAACTTTAAAAGTATCATTTAAATCATGAAACACCATGATTCCTTGATTTGTTTTTATGTTGGCATTTTAAATCTTCCATACCAGGGCTGTATAAAGGTCATAGAGAAGTGATTCAATTCAATTCAATTCAATTCAATTCAATGCAATGCAATGCAATGCAATGCAATGCAATTCAATTCAATTTTATTTGTATAGCGCCAATTCATAACAGAAGTTATCTCAGGACACTTTTCAAATAGAGCAGGTCTAGACCGAACTCTTTAAAACATTAATTACAGAGACCCAACAGTACCACCATGAGCAAGACCTTGGCGACAAGGGCAAGGAAAAACTGCCTGTTAAAAGGCAGAAACCTAGGACAGATCCTTCGGCTCTAGGTGGGTGGTCGTCTGTCTCGACCACTTGGGGTGAGAGAGAGAGAGAGACGGAGGGAGAGAAAGAGAGAGCGAGACAGAGAGTGAGACAAACAGACAGACAGGTGCACAGCAACAACAGTATTGGCAATGGCAATTTAGCAGGACCATGGCAGGAGGCTCCACCAGGATCCATAAGAACCTGCGAGACGAAAAAGCACAAGAACTCCGGGGAAGAAGTGAAGTTAGTAACATCCTTTATAGGTGAGGAGGAGAATTTTAAATTCTATTCTAAATTTTACAGGGAGCCAGTGCAGAGAAGCTAGTACAGGAGAGATGTGATCTCTTTTTCTAGTTCCTGTCAGTACTCGTGCTGCAGCATTTTGAATTAATTGGAGCGTTTTAATGGACTTATTGGGGCAACATAATAATAAAGAGTTGCAGTAATCCAGCCTAGAAGTAACAAATGCATGGATTAGTTTTTCTGCATCTGTCTGTGATAGGATGTGTCTAATTTTTGTAATATTACGTAAATGAAAGAAGGCAGTCCTAGAGGTCTGCTTCATGTGGGAGTTAAATGACAAATTCTGATCAAAGATAACTCCAAGATTCCTGACAGTGGTGCTAGAGGCCAAGGTAATGCCATCTAGAGTAACTATATCTTTAGACAGTGAGTCTCTAAGATTTTTGGGGCCAAGTACAAGAATTTAAGAGTTTAACATCAGAAAATTGCAGCTCATCCAGGATTTTATGTCCATAAGACATGTTTGTAATTTAGATAATTGATTAATTTCACTGATTCCTAATAATGTTGCCTAAAGGGAGCATATATAAAGTAAATAGTATTGGTCCAAGTACAGAACCTTGTGGAACTCCATGACTAACTAGTATTTATTGAAGATTCATCGTTAACATGTACAAACTGCGAATGATCTGATAAATATGACTTAAACCAGCTTAGTGCAGTTCCTTTAATGCCAATTTGATGCTCAAGTCTCTGTTAAAGAATATTACGGTCAATGGTGTCAAATGCAGCACTAAGATCTAATAATACAAGTACAGAGACAAGTCCATTGTCAGAAGCAATCAGAAGGTCATTATTAACTTTAACCAGAGCTGTCTCTGTGCTGTGATGAACTCTAAATCCTGACTGAAAATCCTCAAATAAACTATTGTTATGTAGAAAGTCACACAACTCTTTGGAGACTACTTTCTCCAGAATCTTAGAGAGGAAGGGGAGGTTAGAAATCGGTCTATAGTTGGCTAAAACCCCTGGGTCAAGAGTGGACTTTTTAAGAAGGGGTTTAATTACAGCTACTTTAAAGGACTGTGGTACATATCCTGATAATAAAGAAAGATTAATCATATCCAGTAAAGAAGTGCCAATTAAGGGTAGGACTTCTTTAAGCAGCCTAGTTGGGATTGGGTCCAACAGACAGGTTGATGGCTTCGATGTAGAAATTATTGAAGTTAATTGATGAAGATCGATAGCAGAAAAACAGTCTAAATATATATCTGAGTTTACATAAGTTAAAGTTCCTGAACTTGGAGAGCCACTGAGCCGCAGTTGGTGATTAATTTTCTCTCTAATAGTGATGTTTTTGTTTTTTGCATGGGAAACTGTACAATATGTAGTGTCTGCAAATGATAAAACATGATCATGTAATGTACCTATCATAACATGCAGCATGTTCTCCTCAAAGTAGCATATTTTCCTTGTAATATAGTCACAACAGTTTGACTATTTTGTCAAAATATTATGACTATGGGGTGGGAGGTTGGAGGAGGTGAGGTAAATATACTGGGTGAAGTGAATGGGACAGGTGCATGCCATTGTTCCAAAAACACCAGGATGTTAGTTATTATAGTAGTACAGTTTGGCCCATTGTCAGCAGTTGGACGTCATGGAAGCAATTAATCAGGTCATTCTTTTTAAGAAATCATTTTTCAGGACCTTTCCAGGACATTTTCCAAGAGTTTTCTTGACAATACAGGACAGCACTTGCTCACACAGTTATATAATTTACCGGTAGGCCTAACATTGATACATTTAACAGAATGTCCCATCAACATGGTTCTTACTTTAGTGCTGACACTTTCCTCTATCCATTCGTATAGAGACACAGGGGTAAGAGCTGTGTCAATTTAGTTTGAGTGGGACAGGCTCATGGTCTATAGCAGATGACACCAGCTAGGGGTCTCCAAAGCTTCACAGGGTTCCTCTGTGAACAAATAAATAAAAATGTAATTGTTTGATGAGACAGAATATATTTAAACAGTGACAGTAAGACAGATAAATAAGTGGAATTCTCCTGAATAAAATCCAAAAATGCTTCTACAAGTCTCTCAAGAAAATTAAAAGTGTACTTTTTTTCTAGTGTCACACATTTTTGATTCCGATTCCACATTCCGAGGCCGGCATTGGCTCTCCTGCAGCGGAGAGGTGTGAGCTACTTAAAAGTATAGCTGAGGTCTGACCTCTCTGCTGTTAGTGATGTTTACCACTAATGCAAGCACCATGGTTGACTTCCTGCACTTAACATGTCATTATTAGTGAAGTGTCTCTGACAGCTTGGCTTCCCAGCAGCTGTTAATGCGATTGTTTCAGCCCAGCCCTGTTAATGCTAATCACATCACAGATACCCCCTAATAACAGACACCACTGCTTATTAGACCGAGGATTGCTATCAGTGCTACTGTAAGCGGGTAGCTGGGGCAGACTCATTCACTAAGAGATCTCTGATCTTTTCTAATGCAGTTAGTTTTATTGCCCCTGTACGATGAGTGATAGGAGCGCCTTAAGAATGGTGTTAAGAGCATTTATCTGTTCTTAGAAGGCTGTGATGGAATAAAAGAATTACACTCTGTTCTTCCTTTCAGACAGCAGGCAAAAGTTTACATCTCAAACTTAATTACAGCTTATCTTGTGTCTAGAACTTTTCCTCGAGGAGGCTGGCCTCATGGCACAAAGTAATTTTAGACCACATAAATTAGAGGTATATGTTCACATAATTTAAGAGTTTAAAAGGTAATAAATGGAAATAGTAGAAGAACTGCATACAGATAACTGCCATTTTGTCTTACAGAAGTGCATTGCATTCACTAAAGCAAAACAAATTAAACACCTTATCTCGTAATGTAAGTTACTATCTTGTGATTAAAATAAAAGATCTCATAATTACCAGAAAAGATCTCGTAACTATGAGATTAGGATCGTTATGAAAAACAGGATAGGTGCCAGCAGTACAAATAAATGGTTTTTATCCCTCATCGGGGATTGTTTGGGTTAATTGTATTGGACTTCAGTGGTTGGCTTTTCTTTCATTTTTTTATTGCTTTATTGCATTGCTTTATTGCACACATTGCTTTGTTTCTTAATCGCAAATAATGAAATTGAAACCCCACGCCATTCTTAACTTTGACATACTGAGTAGTCCAACAGCAAGAAGGCCAGCTCACTGTCTGTGCAGCCTTTTATTTCACCAAGCTCTCGCCAACCTCTAAAAGCTAGTCCCACATTTACTCTTGTCTGGTGGCTTCCCTCTTTCCCTCTGCCATTAGCTATGCCCATAAAAGCTGCTGAGCCCAGTTACATTGCCTGGTTTCAGTTCCGGCATGACAAGGCATGACAAGCTCCAGTGCTACCAACGCTCCCCCAGTGCTCTGAGCACCCAGTCCCTGGCGACAAGCAATAGTTAACCAGCTTACAGCAGTTACTTTTCTGTCCATCAGGAAACTGTAAATCACAGAGAGCTGAGGCGGAGCAGCCGGAGGACATCAGAAGGAAAACCAGGAAACATTTTCTCCGTAAAATATGATCCAGTTTCACCAAAATTTGTTACATAGTTGGAGGTGTGTGACTGCTGCTGTAAAGCGTTAAAGTTACATCGTGGAAGAACAGGAAAACGTATAGGAATGATGAAGACACCATTCACCCTATACAAACTACAATGATAGTGAAGCTGTTATTTTAAGGTAGGACTTTACAGATGGAATATTATTGAGTTTATAGGCCTTTTTTAGACGAAAAGTTACTCAACCTGAGAAAGAAGGATTGATTATATACTTTAGTGGCTACAAAAGAAGGGATGCACTTGAATTCTAGGGAACCTAAAGGAATCTATCATGTGCCTGTATCTCTGTTGGTATCAGCAGGGTTTACAAGCTGCCTGTAAGAAAAATGTAATAACCTGCTTTAGCCTTTTCAATCACTGATCCATACGATCCCATCTGCCTTTCAAACATTTCATATGCAGGTCATGGTTAAAGGCACATTGCACAAGGAAAACTAATCTCACCAAGACAACGAAACAAAAACAATTGCCCTCAATCTCATGGTGGAGACGTCTTTCAGTGTATAAATACCTTACCATAACAGCACGCACTGTGATTGTAAGCCTGTTTCAGGAAGTGGAATGCATTTACTGTTACTTACTACTTACTGTTTTTTAATGCTTCCATTACATCACAGCTCTGTTTAGAGTATTTCACACGTTTTAAAGAGAACTCAGGCATGCTAAATAGCATTGGTTCTTTAGTGATGATATTAAATAATATTTCAGTGTCCATTTGTATAAAACTACAAATACATGTGTACAAGATAAAATCCTATTTTCCCCTTACAGTCCGTGCTAGTCCATACAAGCATGGACTGTGACTAATCAGCACTGAATGGCTTCATGAATAATAAGCAGCTTTCGCTCCCACTTCTGCATGACCCATTTATGACAATTACTGCCAGCAGCCCTGTCAACTGCTCTAATTCCATCTCACAAGCTACCGTTAATAAAATAAGACCAACCACAATTCAATAAACTGATAGCTGGACACTTTGATACATTCATTCACAGCACATTCACAGCAGAAGCCCTCTGCCCCCTTTTTAAAGGAGTATCTAACGTCCACTTGTTTGCTTTCTTTACAAAAGTTTCTGTGTGTTCGAGGTCCAGTGTGTAACTATTGACAGAAATGGAATATAATATTGATATTGACCGTAGTTTCTCCTACACACTGACAGTACAAGGGTAAGTTGAGGGCATTGCGATCAGCAACTACACCACTAAATATCACTAAAACCTACACACTGGAGCTTTAAGCTGCACTCAGGACATGGTTAGCCTAGCTTAGCATAAAGACAGGATGCAGAGAGAAACAGCGAACCAACACCTAGAAAACTGACTAATCAACAGTGGAAGTTTCATGTCTTGACAAACGTTTTTTTTCACACTTACAAAAAGACCAACTGAGCGTTATTCTCTAGTGTTGAACTGCTCTCCCTACTGGTGTCTTTCTGTCACAGACCTTTGCAGAGAAGCTCATGGGGAAGTTCTCCATAGCGGTGCCGGTGTTTGTGGCCTTGTCCTGCTACGGCTCCATGAACGGCGGCACCTTTGCCCTGTCAAGGTACAGACGCTTCCTCTATCCTGGCCTTCATCTCACACCCACGCACATTCAAATACCATTTGACAAAACACGCGCAAGTACTCATAAATTGAATTATATTTTATTTATAACATGTTTTATTTATCAATCTACTGTACAGAAGAAATACTGTTTTCATTGATTAATTATTGATATGTCACTTTTATTTGGCATTTTGTGTTTGAATACTGTTATGCAATTGGAACTGAAGGGGTTTTTTCAGGAAGGCTGTTAATGTGAAATATCTGTGCTGATAGTGTTGAGTTTCATTGGCAGTAGCTTAACAGCTAATTGAAAGAGAAACAGGAAAGACTCTTACTAAAATATGATAACATACACCGATCAGCCATAACAATGTGAGCACCTGGGCACCCTGGTGGTCATAATGTTCTGCAGCCTCAGACCAACAGACTGCTCTGCACTGTGTGTTCTGACACCTTTCTATCAGAACCAGCATTAACTGTTGCAGCAGTTTGAGCTACAGTAGCTCGTCTGTTGGATCGGACCACACGGGCCAGCCTTCACTCCCCACGTGCATCAATGAGCTATGGACCCCCATGACCCTGTCTCTGGTTCACCGCTTTTCCTTCCTTGGAGCACTTTTGATAGGTACTGACCACTGCAGACAGGGAACCCCCCACAAGAGCTGCAGGTTTGGAGATGCTCTGACCCAGTCGTCTAGCCATCACAATGTGGCCCTTGTCAAAGTCGCTCAGATCCTCACGCTGCCCATTTTTCCTGTTTCTAACATCAACTTTGAGGACAAAATGTTCACTTACTGCCTGATATATCCCACCCACTGACAGGTGGTATAATAACCAGATAATCAGTGTTATTCACTTCACCTGTCAGTGCTCATAATGTTATGGCTGATCGGTGTATATATCTAATAGAGCAGTTGAGGCTACTATTTGAGAATTTACAGTGTATACAGTGATTCAGGTAGGTTGTACAGTAGTTCACTGCCTTCATTTTGAGGTATGAGGTTCTCTTTGTTAGTCTTTGAGCCTGTGCACCTGAGAACATTCTTAATGAAAATATGAAAACAGAGCGTAGACATCCTGACATCCTATTTTAAAGTTCCCAGTTTAGTTCACAGTCTTTACACTTCACTCTCTGTTGATACAGCAAATTATCTCATAATGGCAACATAGAGTAAATATGACAATGAGCTCAGTTCAACAGAATCTCAGTTTCTATTGTCACTCTTGTTCAAATTTCTGTTTATGTGCCTGTGTGTGTGTGTGTGTGTGTGTGTGTGTGTGTGTGTGTGTGTATATGTGTGTGTTGTTCACAGAATGTTCTATGTGGCATCGCGTGAAGGACAGCTCCCTGAGGTTTTGTCTATGGTCCACATTCGCAGACACACTCCACTGGCTGCTGTCCTCATACTGGTCAGTACCATCAATATGTTCATCAGACAATACCGACAACCCTAAATATCAGTAATGCCCTCATCTGAAATAACAACAACTTACAACAACAATAGCAATGAGCATTTTATACAAATATATAATGACAACATAAATACTGAATATTAGTATTATTATTGGCTTTGCAAAAGTTAGTATGGCGCAAGCATAATATTGTATGGTTATAGCTAGTTAGCTCCAGCCAATCCGAAACAAAAAGATTTTCTGTGGCCATGGGACAAATAATTTGACTTTTTACACAAACCAGAGTAACTACTATAATGGCTTCAAAGCTTTTTTGAACTTCTTTGCCTGTGTGTGTGCAGTACCCTATGACCATCCTCCAGCTGTTTGTGGGAGACATCTACAGCCTGCTGAACTTCATGAGCTTCCTGCGGTGGCTTTTCATCGGTGTGGTAGTGCTGGGTTTAATCTATCACCGATATACAAAACCTGATCTCCCCCGCCCCTTTAAGGTCAGTGTAGCGGTACGGAATTAATACAATATTAACCAAAATACAGGTGGAGTTCGGTCTAGACCTGCTCTATTTGAAAAGTGTCCTGAGAGAACTTCTGTTATGAATTGGCGCTATACAAATAAAACTGAATTGAATTGAATTGAATTGACCCTGCACCTTCCATATATTCCACATTATCTCACCTTGTTATGCTATGTTTAAATTTACTGACAAAATCTTTAGTGATGTTTAAAAGGAATGTTTGAATTACTTAATTCCACAAAGAGCTGACTATTCCATGTCTTTGCTGACTCGTCTACAGGTCCCACTCTTCATCCCAGTGGTGTTCTGCCTTACATGTTTCTTTATGGTCTTCCTATCTCTGTACTCGGACCCGGTCAACACAGGAATTGGATTTGCCATTTCCCTCACAGGCATCCCCGCCTACTATATGTTTATTAAATTCAACCGCAGACCAAAGTGGCTTCAGAGGGCTTTAGGTAAGTCAGGACTTACAGTTACTAACACTATGGAAGTTGCATTGAACTGCACATATGATACTGGAATGCTTCTCAGGGCTTCTCAAACTTTTTACAGCGTGTACCACCTCTGAAAATATCAGGCTCTCCAAGTACCACCATTATGATGATATTAAACTATAGTAGCATAGACCAACCCTATTCAGCTATTGACAGTTCCCACAGGAGGCAGGTTTATTCCTGATAAGATGATTATTTATTGTTGAATCCTGAACCGGATCAAGACCCATAGCTGATTTGGTGGAAAAGGGGTACTCCTGGTCCACACTGCTCTTTCCCAATAGTTCCTGTTTGGAGCCACACGTGCAGTGGTTTTAAACCTCCTTTTACCTCCTCTTATTGTTGACATCACATATTAGCTTGTAACTAATCATGGATGTATGCACGTGCTAATATGTAGTTTAAGTGTACAACAAGGAGTTTTTAAGTGGCTGTGAAAGACTGTTACACTGAGGCTTCTATATGACCTACACAAACACACAAAACTAACAATAAGAAGACTGGCTGTTTCTACATAGTTATTCTTAATGCCTGTCACTAGGTTGGATTCCCCTTGAAATCAATGAAACGATTTTTTGTTGCTACTGTTTTTGTCCATGGAGACAGGCAGAATCACCACAAAATAAAATTTCCTTGTAGCTGCTTTAAGTATTTTCATTCATAAATTGTAGTATTTTCAAACTATTAAGTTAATTTAAATAATAGTTAAAACATATTTCAGATTCCTTTGCATACCATTAGAGGAAGCTCGTTCGATGATTTTTAGCTTCTCAAATTAATGCATTTTAGGTGTCTCTCTGTTTTATATAATTCTAAACTGAATATTTGGAGGTTTAGACATTTGAAGATGGCAAATGTCACTATTATCACTATTAACACAAATATGTTTAGTTTTAGTTAAAAAAGTAAAACTAAAAACTACACATATTTTTGGTAGAAATCCTATTTTTCACCTTTAAAAGGTGCTGGCACGTATTGATTCGATGGGCAGTAACATTGCAACGTTTGAACTTTTCAGACAGTTTTTTTACAGGTTCCTGATCTTTGCCTTTAAGAAGGTTTTTACTTTAAGGACCAGGGCCCAGATCCAAGTACACTTGACCCCAAAGTTCATTTGGTTTGTTAGTGTTCATTAGTGTGAACACTGTGTACCACACTTGGGCACGGATGAACAAACCAATTGAAAAGGCAGCCGAGGGTCATTCTTGACAAAATATGAATAATAGTGGTCATGTGGGCCTGGGATCTTGTATAGATGATAATGCATGTACGTTACTAACATGAAAGCTGGGAGAAGGGGGGAAACATACTCAGGCATGGTATGAAGAAGAGTACTTAACGTCCTAAAACAGCATTTTCTAAAGCTTGTTAACTGAAAGGGGATGGCCAGAAGCTAGAGGTCTTATGTTGCACTTACGTGTGCAGAACCCTTTGGGAACCCTTTTTAATACTCGTTGGAACTCTTTTTAATATTGTAAATTCACTTGAAAACCAGATTGTTCTGTATTTAGTCCTATTTGATTGACTTATTAAATAGCTAAATTTGCCCGGCCTAAGAGCTCAAAGATAATCATGGGAATCATGGGAAGTGAGGCAAACCCTCAGGTAGCAGCAATATCCCCAACACAGCATGTTCATTTTGCAATGCTAATAAGCTCTTGCTAATGTGCTAATTGCACATTTTTGCTAATAGTGTCTCATTTTTGTTGTATAAGCTTAAAAATGTGCACATCCCCAGGTTGTTACAGCCTTGTAAATGTTCTGTGTGAATTTTAAACACTCCTTTATTCCACCACAAATTCTCATTATCTTAATTCTGCCTTATCGATAACATGAGAGATGATGTCACTGTGTGGTTTTCTTTGTGTCCTCAGATTCCTTTAACAGAACCCTGCAGATCATCCTGATGGTTGTCCCTGTGGAGCAATAACAGCACACAATCACTATATCACCTCTATGGTCACCTCAGATTACACATAGACACAGAGCTGAGCTCAGACAGTTAAACTGCTGTTGTATTGTCCAAAAGACTGACTTATTGCAAATGTTAGAAGTTATAAATGTGAGTTTATATAATGTGTGTTATTAAAGGGCGAATATGTATGTTCATGTTATATCCACAGTATGTGTCACTGTTTTGGTGAACATTGTGATTATTTATTGAATAGCAAATTCCCACCTGATCACCATTTTCTCCTCAACAAGCCACACTAGCTGTATCCGTGCATCACTGCGCATGATATATGATATATATATATATATATATATATATATATATATATATACTATAATGTGATTTTATTATACAGTATGCGATTCTTTGTAGAAAGGTTTGTCCCACGTTATCACTGTTTCCTTAAAGCAACCACATACTCAGTGGACTCTACAGGTGGGACTTGCTGGACATTTTTGTCTATCTCACCAGCTGGAGGTCATCAGCTGAGGCTCTTTAATGTTTTTCTCCTTTAACCCATTCATTTTTTGGTGGTTCAAATAGCAACCATTGTGAAATCATCAGCATCAGTCTTCAGATTCAAATGACACTTGTCAACCCGGTATATATGAAGGTTGGTTCCCCTCTTGCATCATTTCTGGACACGCCCTCTGTTGAAGTCAGGTAACATAGTATAAAGAGCAAGAAAGTCTGCAAATGGAGATGGATGGAAGGCTCCAACAAACACAGGACTTAAATCCTGGACATTGTTATTGGTTTCCTGTGTAAAACCATTAGAAAACAGTGTCTTTTAAGTAATGTAAGCAAGTTATGTCAAATACATCACATAACTACAGTCTTTTCCTAAATCTAACCAAACTGCGACTGTTTCACAACCACACAAGCTTTAGTTTAAAATTCTAACTGGATGTTGCATATTTATTGTTGCTAACTTGACTGGAGAGCGATGCACATCCAGAAATGATGCTAGAGGGATACCTACAGTGCCTGTATCTAACCAGTTGTGAGTCAGAACGTGTTGCATCCATCTTGATCAATAACTATAAAATGATTAACTATAGGACACATGCCTTGAAAACTGTATTCTTTTGACACAACATAGCATAGTAGAAGGATGGGTGGAGGTTGTGTTGAGACATTTACCTTCAAATCTGATGAGCAGTGTGCAGAGTTATAATAGTTGTTTTTTAAGTTAAAGGAGAGGTTAAGGGTTAGAGTTAGGGTTTTAGTTACATAGGTTTAGAATTTGAGAGTTAAAAGAAGCAATAAACTTGGTGAATACAATGTCATTATGTTGCGAGCCAACAGCAACATGTACCCTGCTTCTGCTAAATTACTAAGGATGTTGGCTTTGCAAGGATGGGAGACCTCCTGGGTAAGCCAAGTTGCTGCTGGAAGTGGTGTTGGTGGGCCAATAGGGGACAGTTTTCCCCTCTGGTCCTAATAAAAAAAATAATCCCAATGCCTCAGTGCAGCGACTGTGCCATAGGAGACGCTGTCCTTCGGATGAGATGTTAAACCAAGGTCCAGATTCACTGTGGTCATTAAAGATCCCATGCAATTTAATACAAAAATTAGGGGATCCCCGATGTCCTGGCAAAAGTCCCAAGCTGGCTTTCTCCATCTGGCAATCTGATCATCCCCGAGTATAATTGGCTGTTTCCCTCTCCACCTCAAGCTGATGTGTGGTGAGTCTTCTGGCACAAAACAGCTGTTGTGCACATCGGTAGTCCCAATGCAGGATTTAGTGGCATCTCGTGGTCAAGGTTCTGATAGCAGGTCCCAGAGCGTAAAAACCAAAACAATGAGCTGAAAGATGCTAAAATGCTCAGTCAAACTAAGTGAAACTGTAGAGTTGGTGATAATTCTCTGTGGGTGTGTCATTACACATAGTCCTTTGATCCTTTTTAATATAAAAATATTAATTATTGCAGCTTTAACTTGTTGACTTGAACATATCGGTGCTAACACAGTCCCTGGGCATAAAAGATATTTGAGATTTCTTTCAGGTTGCAGAACCCATGTTGTACATCAGATTGTTGTGTCCCTCTTCCAGACAGGTTTTAGTATGCAGATGGCCCAGCCCTAACATTAGGACCTTTGCCATTTGATTCAACCATTATTATAACTTCCCATCACCTCTCTGACCTTATGTGGACTCTCTACTCCCCTGGTAGTCTCCCATTAGCCAGTCAGACTGCATCAGCACCACCCTCTTCCCTCCTGCATCAAGAATGAAGTGGCTTGGCCCTATGTGCCCTGGTGTGGTTACAGTCTTACTCAGAGGGGTGTGAGTGAATGTGTGTGTGTGTGTGTGTGTGTGTGTGTGTGTGTGTGTGTGTGTGTGTGTGTGTGTGTGTGTGTGTGTGCTGTCTGCTGATGTGGCTGCACTCCATTCCCCCTGGGTGGGATTTGCAGGTAATCTGTCTGTGTAACCGCTGCCCTGTGGCACACTGCATTCCCTCTCAGCTCTGTGTCCTGTAAATGGAGGGCTTTTAATGCTGATGAGAGGATGGCAGCATAGAGACAAAATGCCCGGGAGCTTCCACTTCAGTGCTGAGCCATAAAAACGCTGGCTTAAAGTCAGCTAGCATTAGCCTTTGTGTGAGCAAAGCTAGCTGTGCCCACGCTGCAGGCATATAGAGTTTCTACAGCACACTGCTGATGGCTGGTTGGCTGTCACTGCTCAGGTCTGATTGTTACTTTAACATTTACTTAAGTGACTTAACATGAGCCGTAATTAACACATGAAGGGCAAACACATTTAATAATGCTTTGCAGAGACCCCTTCACTGTCAGGGCGCCCACCCCATTGTGTATGTTAAGGTGCAGTGTGTAACATTGAGGAGGATCTATTGTCAGAAATGGAATATAATATTCATAGGTATGTTTTTATTAGTGTATAATCACTTGAATATAAGAATTGTTGTGGGTATGCGGGTCCTTTTCTAAGGAGTCTACAGTAGCCCAGAACAGACAAACCAAACACTGGCTCAAGACAGGATATATATTTTCTCGTATTTCTAGGCCACCATAGTTTCTCTATCATGCTTTGAAGAGGAGGGTGAAGTAAGGAGGCTGTACTCAAGACCACCTTTGTTGAGTCTAAGACTCAGTCTAAGTCCTCGACCAGGACCAGTCAAGACAGAGTCAAGACAGAGTCCAAAGAGTCCAAAAAGTTTTAAGTCCAAATATTTACTTGTACTCCAAATAGGAGTAAAAGTACAGAGTCCAAGACAGGTCTGAGACAATAGAAAAAATGTCTTGAGGACTACTACAGGACTGGAAACTACAGCACTAAATGCCACTAAATCCTACACTGGACTGTGACAGTAGGATGTGTGGAGCCCTGTGCCTGATTGGTTCCAGCTGGTGAGGCTTGGCCCATTCACACCTTCCTACTTCCTTTCTATCGAGGCGAAACATCCTGATTGGACCGGCACCAGTGCACCTAGAAGCTTAGCTCTCCGGTATTTGCAGCTGGGCAACATGCTTCTTCTTGTTTAATATGTCAGACTGTTAACTGTTAATCTTGTATTAACTTCCTGAAACTAGTATTGGGGCATTCACTAACTACCTGCGGACTGGGCCAGGTTTAGATCTAAAAACTCACACAGAATTTCTTTATTTAGAGTCAATAGGTTCAGGGGTGCTGTTTTGACTGTTTTTGGTTTTATCAAGTAGAGTTAGATAGTGAGGTTATTCTTTTCAGAAGTTAGCTGTAGCTGTTGAAGAGTCCTCTTTTGGTATATATATTTATTTCTTTGATTTAAACAGCATCCACCAGCCCTTTTCCTTTATAGTTTGCTTTTTTTTTTGTTTGTTAGAATTATTCTGAGCTCCATGTAATAAATAACTTTGTTTGACCAAAAACACCTGCTTTTATGTTGCTTCCCTTTCCTTTCAAGAGCTGGGTTGTAACACAGGTACATGTTGCTCTGTGCAGGGGCGGATCTAGAGAAATATTCATGCTTTAATCACAAACATTCACATATATGAATATTTGCTTGGAAAAGCCTCCAAATGAAGATATTTGAACTCAAAAACATTATTGTGGCACATTAGTAAAGCACTGAATAGAAATATCATAAGGTGGCATTAGAAATCAATACACTTTTATAGGTTAATTTCCTGATCTTCTTTCCAAATACATGCCTTTTTTTATTTAACTTAAGGCCATCTAAAATGTGTTAATATCTGTAATATTTACTGTAAATTGTTGATAGTACTGTGCATTAGAAGTTCTATATATGAAATTCACTGCCACTAGATGTTGCATTAGAGCACCAGCATCTCAGACCATCCATTGACAAAACCAGTCATTTTACCTCAAAGATAATCGTAAAACATACTTCAAACTGGACAGAAACAAAATAAAAACTCACTGAAACTGTCTTTTTTTCCACTGTTCCAACAATCACTGATGTAGAGGAGAAAAATATTACTTTCAGTCACTGTATGTATTCAAAGCAAACGGTTGCACACGCAGGGACTCACATGCACCAACATGTACATGTGACTGTCCCAGCTGTGTGCACAGCTCAGGTAGAGAGTGTGATGTCTTGTCATGACTCCACTATATCTTTACATCTCAAGCAGTTGTTTGCTGCTATCTTAATGTTTGTAATCTTGTAAATATAACTTTAAAGGTCCAGTGTGTAGCATTTAGGAGGATCTTCTGGCATCATATTTGTTGTTTGTTGTTTTTATATTTTGTCAAAAGGAATGTCTTCTGGGCGTCCGGTTAGCTCAGTGGGTAGAGCTGGCGACCCATGTACCGAGGCTGAGTCCGACCTGCGGCCCTTTGCTGCGTGTCATCCCCTCTCCCTGCCACCCTTTCCTGTCTATCTTCAGCTGTCTCTATCATAAAGGCAATAAAAGCCCAAAATAATACTAAAAAAAAGGAATGTCTTCTACCGCTAACAAAATCTACCTACAGGTACAAATAAAGTACCCTTGTTTTTATATACAGAGAGAGCGGGTCCACTTCTATTCTTCAGCAGAACAGAAACCAAACACTGGAATCTGACCTGTTCTTAATGCTACGGGTTACAGTAAAGTAGTTGCTATGAATAAAACAATGTAGAGAAATGAAAATTAAAAACAAGGAAGGTGAAGCCAGAGACAGAGATTTCTACAAAAAACAAATGAAAAACGCAAACACCCCCATCTAGAGCCAGTGTTTGGTTTGTCCATTCTGGGCTACTGTTCATTACAAACTAATGAAAACATACCTATGCATATTATATTAAATTTCTGACAATAGATCCTACTTAATGTTACACATTGGACCTCTAAAATGAAAATAACCTGTTTTTTATTTTCTAATACTAATTTCTGAAAGAAAAATGCACTGACCCAAATCCCTTGTAATTCATATCTTATAAACATATTTCTAAACCTTAAAAAGAACAGATGCATACAATGCAAAAACCAAAAATTACATTTTTACAGGACTTTTGAAAACAACTGTTATCCATTGAATATAATTATTGTCTCAGTTTCCACATTAAATATTGTCTACTGGAGATACAACCCAAAGCACTGCTATGAGTATCAGCCTTTAATAGCTTAGCATAGCTTCATCAGCATTAACAGTCTGAGGAACAGACTTTAAACTCTGATAGCTACAGTAGACTGATAGCTACAGTAGGGCACTAAGTGCCCCAGGTTCCCTAAAAGTTCAAAGTTGACATATTTCTGTACTTGCACAGCACGACATCACACTACATCTCCCAACCACACAGCACCGTGTCCGAGCGCCTCATTAAAGCCAACAAATAAGGTATCAAGTTGAATTTTTAATAAAAAAAACACTGAATAAACAGCAAAATCTGCAAATAAACGCTTAGATGCTTCTGAGTGATTCGGAGGCAAGAGGTGCAACCTTTTCATCTGACCTCCGCACAACGTGAAGCAGATAATTAACACACCAAAGAATTCAGGTTCAAGGTGTAAGACTGAAAAAAACCTCAGTCTATACTTACATTTGACGATATAAGATGTCAACCATGTGTCTCCTCGTGTAGGTGTGTGTGTGTGTGTGATGAAATGGCTCTATTACCACACTCTGTCAGCTCAAGGAACATTCATGCTGCGGGCTAAGAGATAACACACAGATGCACACACACACACACACACACTGATAGAAAGAAAATGCCAGGAGTTGGCGCAGTACCAAAGGCTAAGGCTCTCTCTCTCTTCCACACACACACACACACCACACACACACACACACACACACACACACAGAGTGAGTGAACAGAGTGTCAGAGTCCTTGCTGCAGGCTGAGAGAGAGAGAGAGAGAGAGAGAGAGAGAGAGAGAGAGAGAGAGAGAGAGAGAGAAAGAAAGAAAGAGCTGGATTGCATTCTGAGGAAACACACCAACCTCCATCCACAGTATACAGTGTGTGTGTGTGTGTGTGTGTGTGTGTGTGTGTGTGTGTGTGTGTTTTTTGGGGTATCACACTCTGATAGTGTGTTTATCACATCTCATCCACAGAGCAGGAAAAGAGCCCTTACTTTCACACATTCAATGCACAGTTTAAAGGATCATTGTGCTTTCATACAACCTTGTTGTATGTTGAGCTTATTTTCCTAATTTTGCCCCCCACTGTAGAGATCTGTGCACACGGAAACATCGTTTGGGTTTAAATAATGATCATCATCATGTAGGCTGACCAGATGAGAATGGATTGGTCACCTATTCTGAGTGAGGACTACTGAAGCAGTGCCAGGGCTGTGTTTACACACTTGAACCATTACACACGTGTCCAGACAGGGGGCCTGGTGTGGCACCGTCCACCCCGGAAAACTGATTGGCCCCATTATCCTTACCTCTTCCACTCAGACTGTCTTTCAGAGGCTGTAGGTGGCTCTGTTTTAAAGCCAGAGTGAAGATACTGACATCATATGAAACTAAAAGACCTAATGCATCCATTAGAACATGTACATGTAGGGAAGGGGGCTAAAGAATGCCATGAAGTTTGGCTAAATTGGAAAAACTGGGATGGCCATTTTCAAAAAGATCCCTTGACCTCTGACCTCAAGATATCTAAATGAAAATTAGTTCTAGTATTCACAAGTGTCCCCTTTGCAGATATGCCCACTGAATGCTAATCCGATGCATTTTGGGCAAAAACCATTCAGGTTTTTGCGTGTGGTATAAATGTGTTATTTGAATATGTCTGTATACTGGGGTCCATACACAGTGTTGGAACTGCTTGAATTGGGAATGATAGAAAGCTGAGACACATACTTCATGCCACCCTCTTATGCCACCCCAGTCGAAAAAGTCTGGAAACGCCCCTGGTTACAGGTATGTTGCAGTCATTTTAAACATCTTCTCAGCAGCCAAGATTGTCATGAAGCTGTCGGAGCTTACAAACATATATTTTTTAAATCACTAATTCCTCCCACTGTGGCGTTTACAAATCAGTGCAATAGACAAGTGAAAACACATATTGACGTCCTCTCTGTACAAAAACGAAGAGAAGATTTTTAGTAACTAAAAGCAAGAATCTGAGCCTACAGAAGTGATGTTGATGGGGGAACCCGGTTAGCTCAGTGGGTAGAGCTGGTGACCCATGTGCCGAGGCTGAGTCCTTGTTGCAGTGGCCCAGTGTTCAAATCTGACCTGCAGCCCCTTGCTGTGTGTCATCCCCTCTCTCTCTCTGCCCCCCCCTCCTGCCTGTCTTCAGCTGTCCCATCAAATAAGGCAATAAAAGCCAAAAACAATACTTAAAAGTGATGTTGATGGTCAGTATTTTCAAGGATTCAGAGAATAAAAAAACCCATTGATCAGACAGATTGATCATTTAATGAAAGGGTTATCTCCATTTTATTATTAATTATTCATGACAATTTGCCAGCACTGTAAAATACACAATACATTCAGTGCACCATTGTTCAATATTACTGTGTCACCCAGTCGGGTTTCCTCAGCATTTTTTTCCAGTCTCACATCTTACAGACAGCTCTCCTTTTTGAGCTCATTCATATTATTTGTTAGTATAATGGTTCACTTTTGGGACAAACAGGACAGGATTCCGAACTAATGCCAAATGGGTGTGTATGGTGAGTTTAAGTAAGTGAGTTTGGTGAAAACAGGTGAACTGGATTTATTTAATATATTCATCCTTGCAGGGTCAACTTTTAACCTATGTGTATTACAGCTGATAATAATTATGTGTAGATTAAAACAAATGTGGGCCAGGTGCGTAAAGTGGAGGGGGTAATGGCCCCTTCCTTACTTCCCAACCCACTGCTTATGTTGCATGTAACAACTGAGTACAATTTATAAAAGCAACACATAGGACAGTTTATTATGGAAGCCCTGAGAGGCAAGAGAGAAAAAAAAATTCTGGTGATCCAAGTAGTAATGACTTCAGAACAGGTGAAAAAAGGTTTTGCCAGTATAATTTGTTGTTGTAATACTAATTTTGGCCACAAGAGGCTGAAGTGCTCCATTACTCTTAATTCCATTTTTTTAAGAGAGCCTTGTTGGTGACAGCCAGGACCCCCCAGTCAGCCCTGCTAGCAGTACATTGAGCCTGCCTCACCAGCTTCCCAAACCTCTGGTCCTGTGTTCTGTGTGCTAAATGAGCCAGCCTTTCAGCCCAGACCAAAGTGCTTCTCTACTGCACAATCAGTGAACGATAAGGCAAGCTATCCATGTGTCTATATGTTCCAATCAAAGCTCTTACAGTACACGAGGGTCCACAGCCATCAGCTGGTCTGAATTTCCAGGCGCTGCCCGCGAGATTCTTCCGAACATTTATGAAGCGCTAACGTTGCCTGTAGCAAGGTCTGTTTTCTCAGGCGTTACGAGATGACAATTCTCGGAGAGAGGAAAGTCATTTTTGTGAGAATTCT